AAAAAGGTAAATACTTGAGGACTGTTTTTTTACAGATAGATCTCAGCTTATAACCATTGAAAGCTAGGAGATACTATAGATATTTCCTTTTAAGTTGAATATCTCCAGTAACGCACTTAAAATAACCTAAATGCGATTCAACTTAAGTTGTTGATATCTCGAGACAAGTTTGCTACCTTTAAATGATTGGTTCGAAATTCAACGGTCCATAGTTGTCGTATAAACTTAAAACAACCATTTAGATATAGTACAATGAATGGTTTGACTGAGTTGAATGAATAGATTAAAACAAGACGTTTTAAGCTGTGAACTATCACTCTGGTCATTCCTTCAAAAGTTAGCAATGGTAGTGGTTGTATTAGTAAGTAGGTAGATATAGGCTGATTAGAATTTAATAGTCCGATATCTTCATTCTATGGTCACTGCTGTGACCAAGCACTTTGAAATATTTGGTTTAAAATTATATACTACGTACAAATTATTTAAGTAGGAAGAATTTGTGCACCAGATGAAGTAGGATGACCTTCATTCACCCGACTAAAAAGCTTGATATCTCTTCATAATAGGTGGATCATACGGGAAGGTGGAAATTCGAAATAATGGTTTTTAATATACGATAACAGAGTGGGAAAAAGCTGAATTGGATAAACTATAATTATACTGGGAAATGGTTCGAATTATTTATTTCGGTTAGCTTTTTCAGCGAGTTAGTATTCTACGAGATAGGGTCGCTAAACCCAAACCCAACCCTCCTCCTTTATCCGAGCTTGGGACCGGCAGAAGCTCCAAAGGGGCTGTCAACCAACACCAAGTCCAGAATTTTCAATACAAATGTCAAAACACTTCTACTGTATGGGGCGGAAACCTGGAGAACTACGAAAGCCATCATCCAGAAGATACAAGTGTTTATTAACAGCTGTCTACGCAAGATATTTCGGATCTGTTGGCCAGACACTATCAACAACAACCTAATGTGGGAGAGAACAAACCATATTACAATGGAGGAAGAAATCAGGACGAAGAGCTGGAGGTTGATTGGACACACATTGAAGAAAGCACTCAACTGTATCACAAAGCATGCCTTCACTTGGAATCCTCAAGATTAATGAACACAATACGCCGAGAAATGGAGACAGATATGAGAAGAATGAACAACAATTGGATAGAACTAGAAAGGAAGGCGAAGGAAAAAGTGGGTTGGAGAATGCTAGTCGGCGGCCTATGCTCCATTAGGGGTAACAGGCGTAATTATACCGGTAAAACTTGGGAATATACTACATCAAGACTGATAATGACAATAAATTTATGGAAACATGTCTAAAATCGCCTTAGTCTTGAGTCATACCTATTTAAGTAACTAGTACTAGTAGTTTGAGACACAATATGCTTATCACAATACTGTGAATGAAAAGAAAAGTTAGTATTACTCAACCAAACACATAGAAGTGTCAGCAGATGATAGCTATAATGATATAAATAGCTCTTTTTATGAAAAGTTAAGTGTAACACTAAAACTACAAGAACACAAGAAAAAGAGCTCTAAATATAAAGTTATCTAGTATGAATCAGAAGTAAAACTGCCATAAAAGGTGGGAAATAAACCAAATACTAGGAATGACAGGTTACTCAGCAGGGATGGCAAATCGATTGATGAGGTAGTAAATATGTATTGACTGAGGTGATTTGGATATGTCACGTACGCCCGAAAGAAAACCGAGGAGACCAAACTAAAACATGCCATCAGTATAGGAAATCATTGGTAACTGGACAGAACTATGTTAACAGGTGTTGATTACCTGTTCATAGTAAACAACCGTTAGAGACTTTGAATATGGCTCGAGATCGTATGGTATAATACGGGTGCATCCAATTTTTGTCTAACATTAAATTCTAAGTGTCCGAATTCTTCATAATTTTCCTTTTATCACTAATTTATATGTTCTTGAATTGTATCTTCGACGACTAATCTTCCCCAATACCACTAATACTGATACCACCTCAATTACTCTGAAATCTGGTCTGACTGTCGTCTCTCTGTGCTAACAGGGCATGGCAACTTGGACCGATGTACATGCATACAAGGCTCTAGGTTGCAACTAACTGACTGAGGTTCTACTACGATAGGGAATTCGGTTAGAGTGGTAGTACTGAAAACAGATCATATTGATCACAACTGACCTGCATTCTTATTCATTTATTTATTTTAACAAATAGATATTGGTACAAGGAGGCACCAAATACATATCCGCCACACAAATCTTATTCGATATGTGTGAGGGCTGTGATACTGTTCGAGTGCCCAAACCGAAGCAGGTAATTTTTCTAAAGGGCCACTCCCCGAGCCTTCGACATGAAGGTCTGATCCACAAGGCAGTGGAGCATCGTAAGGAGGTGCAGTCCCCTGGAAGCCGGTGACCCCCAAGCTGCCAACTTTGGGGTAAATTTGATCCGTTTTGGGGAAGCCGCTATAGTAAATTTTGGGGAAATGAGACGCAAACCCCAAAATTTCCCCAAAGCCGGCAGCTTGGTCAAACATTTGGTCCATGCGCCATTTGTTCCCGCAGGATACTGGAGCCCATGTGCACCATTGATTTGGAATCCGGTTAAAGCGCCGGATATTCGCTTTTGGTCCTCTCATTTTCGTAAACAACACGCCCGCCACGGGAAGGCAATGAGTAGGACTTCCCTATATATATGCGTGGCTATGTACGCGTGGCCATGTGAGAGCATTAGGAGAGGTAGAACGGACTCTCTCCACTATCGGCCGTACCAGGGCATTTTTCCAATAATCATTATTACTACCACTAACGATAATATCTAGCTTCATATTCTTTCACAAAGCACGTAACGAAGTGACTTGATGAAATGTTTCTCAATGTTGCCTGAAAGCATGTTGTAGGCTAGATTTTCGACCACGTAATGTTTGTACCTTGTATCATGTCGAATAACAGGTTACAATAGCTAAGACTATAAGATAATGTCATCGAAATTTTAACACAGAGCCCAACCGAAGCATCCAACATTCCCGAACCACTGCGAAGAACCTGCGCGATTCACTCCTTGAATATCTGAAGACTCAGTCGAAATTTATTGTGAACTATCAGGATTGAGAACAGAATAGACAATCCTTGACTGCGATTCACTCTACCTTTACTTGCTTGCCAGAACGCAAGAAGTATGAATCATGCATCGTTGTCGGTTTCTAGTCTTTGTAGACTAACCTCTCTCCGGTTGATGACAAACCAGACTTCTAATAAAAGCCTTCTGACCTCTTTTACCAGGCTGATTGCGACAAGCTGAGAAATACTTTTAGCGTTATCGAGTAGCAAATAGACAGTGACAAGCATTGGATGCTATTGTCTTCAAAGAACTGCTTGATTCGAACAAACATAAGCTTAGAACATAATAAGAAGTTTAACCTGACTGTGAAGACAGACACAACGATGATCAAAAATGAGAATCAGTAGAGACAGAAAACTAACAAAAGGTAAACCTCTTCGATGTCTTCCATAAGATAGCCAAGCACTTGATCGACAATGTAGAGGATCTCCCAAAAAGCTTGGAATAATACTTCCACAGCTGTTAACACAACAGCGATATCCGTCAGTAACTTAAAGGTTAGGCAAGACCAATGGATTTCTGTAAACACTACTAAATTCATAGCCGTCTGAAACTTACTCAAGCAGTCTACGAAAATCATGAAGAATGAAGTTAACTCATATGCGAACTGGTAACGGGAAGCGTGGGAGAACAATAGTAATAGATTGAAAGGGAAACAGGGTCATATCCCTACCTATAGGTAGCACTAGATTGCTGTTGTGGTCAATAAGACAGGTACTGATAGGTTATCTGACAATTAAAATACTTAGTTATAAGACTTATTCGTAGACTAGGTAAATGTTGAGGAATAGTTCAGATAGCCTTAAGCTACCGTCTTATTCACATGTTATACCCACTCATAATTAGTTCAACTCTCCCACCTGGGAACTCCTTCAGTGGGTATGCACATGACACATTTTAACCCGATAGATACATGGGCGAAATCCAAAGTAGGCTACATGATGGTTTTTATAGCTGTAAACGGAAAATGTAGCTACATGATCGGTTGCTGTCACAGTCTTGGCTGGCTGTGAAGTTATATGGTTGATGGGTCGTTAACATAAACTACCTTCGAAGTCTTAGCACCGCTTCGATAATATCGTATAGAGTTGACTATCGAGATATATACACAGATCTTAGCAACGAAGCTAGTTCCGAGAGGGGTCACTACGAGATTGCGCATGGTTTCTAGGATAAGAGACCGACCGATACGAATGAAGCAGGTTACGCATGTCCGTTCACTCAAAGAACAAAGTTACGAGGAACGAGATGTCCATAAGAATATAGGAGCTCAATCAATGAACACTCGGACATATTATGAGCAAGTAACCAGTATTAGCAACCTTACAGAAATCATTAGCCAGGTTTGATTGAGAAATATAGAGGTGAACCTAAAACAAGACACGATGTACCCATAATCATTAAAGTTGTATTAACACATGTTGAAAGTGCACTAAACAAAAGTCGTGATATTTTAGTAAATCACATACCTCTGACACTGCTGAATGATATTGTCTGCTGGGAGGCGCGTTAGCCGTATTGTTCAAGTTTTGAATCTGAGAAGACCAATCATCATTTCCAGCTCGTGAATAGCACTGTCGCAGCCAAGAAGACCTGTTGTAAGCAGTTAGTAACTTTTGCGAATGGCGACGTCTTGACTTCACGAACCAACCGACCAGCAACAACACAATCGATAGCACCAGTAGACAGCCAACCACACCTAACAATGCAACGACGACAGGCTGTGCACCCGAGTACGATACGTACGGAGCTAAAGGAAACCAGACATCAGCTGTGAGAGCACACAACAAATATCGCTATGGAAGTGAATATTACCACAATAACCATTAAAAGACCTCCCTACCAAACCCATCCAAAGCCAAATAAAAAACCCCATAATAAACGGATGGCGATACACGTTTATTAGTGAAGATAATGAAGAATAAATAAAATACAATCTGAACAATCAGAAGTGGCATATAGTAGTAATTAAGGAAATACAAGATGTGAAACAAGTATGGAACATATGTACAAGCTAATGCGTAACAATGATAAGAACCAACTATAAAAATAATTCACATTTATTTCTTTGCAACTTTTTTCGGGGTCTTCTTTGCCACTGGTTTCTTGGGCTTCACAGTCTATAAGAAAGAAAAGGATATTTCTATGAAATTATATCCATTCGATGTGCTTAATGTTATAAATCACACACGTATAATTATAAGATCATAAGGAGTCAAGAAATCATTTGACTTACTTTTGGTTTATGTGGCGATTTCGCTTTCTTTGGCTTGGCGGCTGATTTGGGTTTGGTGGCTTTCGGTTTTGAAGCAACTGGTTTACTTGCTGGACTGGTAGTTGATTTGGGTTTGACAACTTTTGGCTTCTTGGTAGCTGCTTTCTTTGGAGTAGTTTTCGGTTTTGAAGTTTTAGGACGTGCAACTTTTTTCGGTGTCACAGTTTTATCTGCAAGTTTAAATGATCCAGATGCACCAATTCCTTTAGTGTGAACAAGTTTGCCCGATTTAACACCAGTAACTAAAGCACGACGTAGATGACTTTCTGCACGATCATCGACTTTGTAATTAGTTTTGATATATTTAGCAATAGCTTGACGACTTGATCCACCACGTTCTTTCAGCTCTTTAAGGGCTTTCTTTATCATATCTCCATATGGAGGATGAATTGATGGTGCTTTTTTTGATTTTGCAGATTTTCTTACTCCAGTAGTTGAAGGGGCAGCAGCTAATGAACTTCCACTAACACCAGAAACAGTCATCTTAAAATAACTTGTTAGACAGACAGGTCAGAAATTTTCGCTAACTCTTGTTTAATGCTTATTTATATAATTTATTTTCCTGACCACAACGTAGCATAATTCAATCGGAGTGCGTATGTCACTTCTATTACACAGCATAAGCGATTAATACCTCGGTAGGGTGAATAAAAATGCTTATAACTTCTAAACAAAAAATCATAAAAATATAATTAATACATCGTTATAGAGCTAACATTCTGCGCTTTCAGACCATATTAAAATCATTGAAATTAATTTATAAATCTAAGAGAAAATTAGTGAAGAATCTGATTTTTTTATAGTATTCCTTCGTCTACATCACTTTGATCATTAATAAATTCCCTTAAAAATAAAAAAATTGAAACTAAATTTTATATTCTTATAGAGGCCTTTCTTAACATTATCAAAATAGTAAAAATTGTACGATAAACTTATAAAATAATAGAAAATTCTTATGAAAACTTAACATATGCTTACAAAAAATTTACCATGGAGACTTTCAATCCTAAAAAGAAATCGTGAATATTTTATGGAACCTTTTGAAGAAAAACATTCAAAACATAGAATATAATAGTTAACTGTCATATTAATCTGTGTATTTAGTCACAAGCTGAAATTCATTCAAGAACCATGAATTTTCAAGATTGGAATTCAACCTTTGCTATTCTAAGCATATCTTTAAATGTCGATAGTAAATTCATAGGAAATAAACTTTAACTTTAGTAATCTTTTTACTTTTTCTCATTCATAACATGATAAAGAAGGTATGTCTTAGATAAGAAAGTGTAAAGAACTATTATTTATAAAAGGATCCTCATAGGGAATCCTAATAATTTGAAATTTCTCTATTTTATGATAAAGGCATATCATTTTACTAGAATTTCATGATGTGAATAAACAATTTACTCTATTTTGATTCAAAATAAGATTTTGAATAAATTCTATGAAGTATTTAGGAAGAAATTTCACAAATGTTTAAACATCATAAGCAAATAACGTAGGAAGTGAAGAGTTTTGTATTCAATATCAACCCATAATGCCTGTATCATAGAAGGCGAGTAGAAAAGCCAAGAACGAACAAAATACCGGCGGCATACAGGTTTTCACACCGAGTCATCAATACTTGGAACCTGCTGCCCGAAGCAGTGGTGTCCGCACCTTCAATTGATTCTTTCAAGAGAAGACTGGACACACAGAAGCATACTAAAAAAGGAATAACATAAGCCGTAGGCCTTCTGTCCGTACTACACAAATCTGAAATGAATATGTTGGTACATGTAACAAATGCTTCAAACGTATACACCTAGATAAAGTACTTCAACTTTGATCAGTATCATGAGTTAATATCTTTCCAAAAAGGAATCATTTAACTGAGTTATCCTTAAGAAGACTCACAGTATTTATGGGACTCAATATTTTCTTAAATTCTTACAGAATCATTTCAGTTTATTTACATACATATTAAAATTTATAAACTATATAATAATATAATGCAAATACCCTAGTGGTGTACATTTAGAGTTTTGACTGAGTATATGTGGTGTTTGTAATCGGTTGTACATCTTCTTCTTAAGTTCATCCTGAGTCTGTCCGACATTGTATTGGATAAAAACTCGGTATTATCTAAAATACACTCATTAGTATTAAAATTAACAACTGAAATCGGAACAGACTCACCTGGAATTATATGCAATCAGCATGTCGGTTTTGTACTGAAATCATGAATATCTAGAAGTCGAACCCTAGATTTTTCAACACTATCCAAGACGTACAACCGATTACAAACACCACAGTATATTTAGAACGAGATGGGTGTTAGAGTAAATAAGCTCTGAATAAGGACTGAGAAACATAGAAATCTATTCACAATTACTTCCTCACACTTTTTTTTTGACATCTCTCAAGAATAAATAGAATTGTCTATTATTCATTTTATGAAACTATTCTCTTCAATCTATTCTAATAGATTTTTTTAACCGAGATCATATACAAGTATAGAAAGTTTGTAAATGGAAACAGTTGACGATTATATTTTCAAAAGTTAATTTTTTTTAACCAAATAAGAACTTTCGTCTAAATTTAAACGAATAGTTTCACAATATTTAGGCGCCGAGTTAATATGAATCATTCAAGAGGAAGAATATATATTTGAAAAATCTCAACGAAAGAATTCGCAGTAAATCCAACGTTTCGCCTGACAATCTAGTCCAAGCTTTTTCAAGGAAAATATAATCAAACAACAAAATTTTGTTGTTACATCAGATTGTCAAGCGAAACGTTGGATTTACATCAAATTCTATCGCTAAGATTTTACAAATACATTCTTCCTCTTTAATGACTCAATTGTTAACTGTTTATTTATTAACTGTTGATCTAGTTAGCTATCATGAAAAGTATATCGTTATCTTCCTTGATATGCTCGAAAATAATCGATGGATGAATCGGTTGATAAATATGATTTTTCAAGTCAATATGTGGAATGTACACATTAGTGAGCTTGAAAAAAAATTCTTATCATGTTTAACCGCCTCAATACATGAAATAAATTTGACTGATAGGAATTCAACGATTTATCTAATAGATAATAAAATAAATTCTTTGTACCTGTATCCAAAACACTAAATAGTTACTTGGATTCTGTTTCTATAAAAAGTAACAAGTTCACTATTACGTCAGATACTTATTGTTCTGAAATCATGAAAGAAATATATAGTTTGATTTGGATACTTTTATTTGTGTTGTCTGTTCTGATCTTGATGATGTAATTGTTAAGCTTTCATTACCATTTTGGACAATATAGTCATTGCTTTACTTCAGACCTACTTCTATATAAAACAAAGGAGTAAACAATGACAAATTTAAGGTCAATAAAAACCAATCAACGTCGAGGTGTACAGAACAAGCTGTGAAATGCATATGGAGAAATTCGAACACTTCATTTCTATCTGAAGTTTATGGTGATGATGTCGTTCAGAAGAACGATGAAAGCTCCACGATCAAACCATCCAGCTCAGAGAACAAAACTCCATCAAAATAAAATAAACTTTAACAATATTACTCTGAATATAATTAATTTCGAGGTGATAGTGATTATTTATATCTTGGGTGAATGATTTTGGTTGTGTTCTCTGACTTATGTAGTTTAATCGTGAAGAATTCATTATCTTCCTTCGAGACAACATCTTCAGTGCTATTGTTTAAAGTTTCTATGAATGAAGTTATCTAGAAAGAAAATGCATAGTTTATTATTGAGCCACTCAGCTTAGAGAACTCAATTTCATTAATGAAAAAAAAACATGAACATATTAGTTCAGATTAGTGGTAGAAATGAGATCTGAACTTTGAAAAGATAAAAACATGTACCCAACAAAACTGTTGATATTTTTACGCTGAATAAACTTTGAATATCTATAACTATTGGTCTTTTATTAATACATTTATATACCTAGAAGCCTATTTGCCATATGTCGGTATCTATCGATATAGTACTGTCATGTTTATTAAAATGATTTACCAAAGAATTCAACTAAAAAGATCAAATCAAGATCAATCCTAAATATTAGTTTAACCCAAAATCTGGAAACATTTGCTCTCATGTATATCGAAATATTTGTTTAGTTAAATGTCATTGATTCTATATTACACATTCCCATGGAGTGTACACATGTCCACATACGTTTTGTCCACTTGTGAAAAACGCTGAAAGTAAACAATTACAGTAACTAAGTTTCTGTGTTAGATTAGAATGCACCATCTAAATAAGAATCATTTTAAAGAGACTAAATTATGTTGAATTTTCTTCCACAATCCTTTGGTCAGCCTTAAATAACAATCCAGTATAAGATGATATTATTCAAGGTGAGTAAACTTAACTCTCCATCAAATAAACAGATAACTAACACTTGGAATAAAAACAGATTGAGGTCGGGATTCATTTAAGATTTTAGTGTAAATCATTTAAAACTGATTAGGCTTGTTAGGAATATTAATTTTACACATGAATGTATCAAACGGATAACGTCGTTTGCAATGTTTTCAATGTTCAATAAGTACCTAGCTAGCACTTGTACTTATCTTTCCATTTATTAAATGAATGAGTGTTGTATATGAAAATATAATCTTCAGTAGATATTTCATTTCAAACTATAACTAACACAATATTTATATTTTTCATCAGGGACATTGAACTACTCTACGATGATATGTTCATAGAAGACAACTGTAGACAACTCTTACCTATTGAAATGAAATCGTTGATAAATATTCAACTCTAATCTACAACATTAAATTACCAAATAAAAGGAAAAATGGCCGAAAATGTTGAATAGAATGCAGTTATTGAATGTTGAACATGTTGAAGATAACGACAGACAAATAAAGTCACTTAAAATAAAATGAATTCATTGATGAGTTCAGAGACAATCAGGAACTCCAACCACTGTTTAAGATAATTGTGAAGACCTCAACCAGTGAATCTACACCTACTCACATAACTCATTCCAACAGTCAGTGATTTTTTGACTGTGTTATGTTTTGGTTTGAATATCCTTGTCATTCATCCAACCTAATCCTTCACCATCAAATATTGGTCATTGATTTAGACAGTGGTTGAGCAGACGTTAGACATGTCGTAATCACTTCACATTTTTTCTTACAAGTTATTTATGTATTTTATATGCAAACGAGTGTAGTGAAACATAATTCTTTCAGGGTACCATATTTTTATTATGCCAAGTTAACTTGTCGTCAAGAAAAAAAGGGAAGTAAACAATCACACAACCTCAATAAACTGTATAGAACTATAAATCGAAGAATAAAGTGTTTTACAGATAGCATTTGTCACAGATTGTTTTTAGTCGGGTCACCACTATGAATCAGAGAAAATCAGACAACTGTTTCGTCCTTTTGTTTGACTCTTTGGTTGTCTAGTGGTTAAGTGCTGTTTCATAAATCTGAATATCCTGAGTTCAAGCCCCTCCGACTTCGTAAGTGCCAACTCATGAAGACTTCCATAGTATAAC